TATCAATGAATATGATAAATTAAAAAGTTACCAATCATTACATCTAGCGTTAATGTTTCACGACAAATTTCTTGTATTTGCTCAAATTGACTTGTATGGAACAAATACGCGAAAATCAAATATAGATCTGAATTTCCAGGATTTACTAATTTAGAAAATGCATTCGTAAATATAGGACGTATCTGAATATTAAGAAATAGCTGTATTTAATTATACTCCTGTAATGTCGTAGAAAATTATCATAATGTCTTATTTACCCTGCTATCTGACATGATCCTCTGCCAAAACAGCAGTAAAAAGCAGAGATACAATTTCCTGAGCCTTTACCAAATATGTACGCAAAAATAAATTAGATTAAAAGTTTAAGGAAAGTATTTGCATGAATAAGATCTATTTTCACCTGTCAGACTTCGCGTGACTTAATATTTGAAGACAAGCTTCTAGGTCATTTTGGTTCAGATAAGATTGAAAATAATAGCTTAACCCGCATATAATACGAAGAAGGACGCAGAGCCTATTTCGACGAGTTGTCAACGGTAGCACTGGCTCTGCCTAAGGAATACGAAGCTTTGTTTACATGCATAATCACAATATAAGCCTTGTTATGAACAGTAATTGCGTACCAGTTCTTTTTTCAAAGTCATCATAAGCCTATTTTGCAAAGTGGCAATAGTATCGGTCTTAATTTGGTTGAATCTCAACCATTCTGCATCACGTGCTAATATTCCAGCTAAATATAAAGGCTATACAAGATGGATACAATGTGAGCAAAGAATAAATTGTAATGTAATTTCTTTATGAAAACAGATCTTCGAATACCCACCACGTCCATACAAGAAGTTAGTGTCAGTTCTAATGCAAATTCAGGCAAGATTTTTAAATCGGTCAGCTTCATTCGAATAAAAAAAGTATGGTGTGGAGCTAATGCACACATAGTATACAACATATTCCTTTAATAGGATGAAATTATTGATTAATTAAAAAGTCAATTATAATATTGGGAAGAAAAAAAACAAAAACCTGAGATAAATTTTATAATCATAAGGTAAATGATTATGGATATCTATTAGTGTTGCTGCAATCTAGACATAATTTATCAAATTAATGCCACATAGACAATTAATATTACGCGACAGCTTGTCATAATAAGTGAGAATTAAATTTACCTCTTCAAACATCTGTGGGTTATTAGTTGTCATACACTTTATTAAAATGTGGCCATTTTCTAAAAGCACTAATGCCCGAATAAAATCCTATTTGCAATTAAATCACATGTAAATAAATGTAATTATTTTAAATAAGAATTATATAGTATACACAAGGTTGTTAGATTGTGGCTAATAATAATACTTTATAATTAATTCCTAATGATGAAAGATCCCATGTATATAATATTATTGGCAAATAATACTCCAAATTTCGCACTACATCACCCCGCAGATATTTAAATAATAAAGGGTTTGCTTTTATAAAATCACAATATTCTTTGACCCTTGATTGACTCATCTCGTAAAATACGTTCGCAGATTTTACAAGATCATATACATCTTGCAAGATCGCCCTATGTAGATAGTAACGCATGAAAAAATTGTTTATTTTAATTTTATAATTAGGCATGATATATTTTATTAACCTTATCGTTGTCTCATGACTGACTAACTGTACATTTTGGCCTTGACTCTGAATTGTCTAGAATAATAGAAATTGACTTATTTGTTATTCATGAAATAATTTGCCATAAATAATTTAATAGTGTATAAAAGCTTACCGTAAGTGTTAGTGGAATCCTTGGATAAATATTTTTGATAATATGGGGAATGACTAGATTCTGATTAACCGACATAATCTTGCGTATAGTTTCGATCTGAATATATAATTAGAATTTATTCTGAAATCGTCCATACAACAACATATTTTGACATGCCTGCAAATATCTGTTCAAAAATTGTAACTGAGAGTCATCGTATAGATATAGTATGTAAGGTAAAAAACATTCGTAATCCTAAGCAGTCATAGCAAATTATTAGACAGTTCCTTATCTTATGTACCAGAAAAAAAAACTTACCAAATTTTGATTTAAGAAAATATCGCCACCTTTCTCAAGCCAAATAAAAGCTTGAGTGATTGGTAGCTGTGCAGTGTTGTGCGCTGGAATTTGTTGCTGTGAAATATTGTGCGCCATTTTGTTTTCAACGCGTTTTTTGTTAAAGCTTTTTTTAGTCAGATTATTTATAATTGATCATTTAACCAATCAAATTAACGAATTTCGTTTTGATTGGTTGTTAAGATACCCCGGAAAAAATGTCGATCATACCCCAGATAGCATAGCGGGCTTTCATTCCGATTGGCTAATTTTTGTAGATCATCTTATGATATTCTGAGTTATCTAATATTATCTTTGTTGCAAAATCCTTTTATTCAATAGCTAACATCTAGATTAATCTATTCAAGTTTATTCTTTATGCCAACTCTAAATCTAGTAACTATATTTTAATTACTTTTAATAACCAAGTTCTGCCTACTTGCTTTTTATATTAATTGTTTAAGAGTAGAGTGAATATTAATTAATTTTACTAGTAGTTACATTACTAATTTTTTTTACAATAATATTCAATTGATAATC